GAGGCGACTGCATTTATTGAACACACAAAAGGCTGGAAACTGGGTCCTGCTCCCCTCTCAGGGCTGTGGAGGGGATGGGGCATCTTCCACTAGAGGGAAAGAAGCCTTCTTCAGCGCCGTGTGTACCCAGCGCCCGCATGGATCCGTGTCCTCCTCTGTTGGGCCAAGGTGTCGCGCCGTGCCACGCTCCGGCTCTCGCCCCTGCGGGCGGCGAGCTCAGAGGAAGTCAAACACCCCGTAATTCTTTGCTGCTTGACAGAAGAGACACAAGAGGGTGAAAAGAGAAAGAGGAGATGTTTAGGGAAGGAAGGAGCGAGGCAGCAATGGCACACAGGCGGGCAGCACAGGCACCAGGCTGGATGCGGATTAATGGGGTTAGAAGGGGGAAGGGAAGGGAAGGGAGTTAAGGGCTCGTGCAAGCGGCAGCAACTTGCCTCTGCACACGCAGTCTGGAGGCAGCCGGGCCGGCGGGGCCTCGGCGCCCCCTCCCTCCACACGAGCAGGGATTAGAGTCAAGGTTTAGTTCAGTTTATTTTTTTCCCTTTTTTTTTCCGTTATCAAGACAAAATAAAAACAAAGAGTGAAGCTGGGGCTGGTCCTAGGAGACAAACCGACGGGGCGGCAGACAGACAGGGGGACGGGCGCTTCACATTACATCCACAAAAAACTCACTAGGGTTGCCCATGGCCATTCGGAACGACTGTCTACTGGCCGTCAGTTCTGGGGGCACAGAGGCCAGGTCACGGCCTGGCGGGGCGCCCGGGGGCCCCATAGCTGAAGGCGGCGGAGGCATCAGCAGCATAGGCGGGCTGTAGAGGGGAGGCAGGCCTGGTGGCCCATATGACTGCTGGCTGTGGTGACTGCGGAGGCTGTGGGCCAGGGAGTGCTGGCTGCGCTGGCTGTGTTGGCTGGCAGGCACCGAGCGCTCACTGGCTGCCCGCTCCCGCCTCATGCTACTCCGAGTAGTGTGATCCGACTCGCTGCCGCTGCCACCCGACTTGGACTCGCCGGTCTTTGGGTCTCTCTCCTTCCTCCTCTCACTGCCACTGCGGTTCGATCCGCTGCTTCGGCTTCCTAGGAGATGCATAAAGCTAGGTTAGGGAACGGTCCAGACAAGCACAGGCTTCCCGCCCCCATCTTCACGGCAGGGGGCAGCTGGAATAAAAGAGCCTCTCCTCCCCACATGCTAAGCTGACCATACTGGCAGCGGGGCAGGGCTGAACCATGCAGGAGCTGCTCCATGGGAAGTGCCTGTGTGCATGCTCTTACCCTGTAATAAGTAAAAGCCAGATGGCAATACAGGCCCCCCTTTCCCAGAGGTCTAAGCCACCAAGGATCAAACTTCCACTTATTGTGTCGTAAGTCTGTGTACAGACAACAGGCCAGCTGACACATGAAGAAGTCCTGCCCTCGTTTGTCTCATGTGAGGTTGCTTATGAGCCCACCCCCTCAAGCCAGGCTACAGCAGCTCTCCTAGCTCAGACCTCTCTGGCCTCCTTTTCTCACATTGTGCCTTGTAGCACACAGATCTTGCCTCTGGTAATGGCTTCTCCTTGAGGCTCCCAAGTTGCTGGTCACGCACCTCCCCAGCTGTGCCACATTCACAGCATGTGCGCATGCTGTTTGGAGAGAACGCTTTCCTCCTCCCGGCACATGACTCAGACCTTGGCTCCGTTTCCGAAGGTGTAAAAGCCAACCCCTGAGGCACGTCCCAGCTCCCTGCCCCCTTGCATTTACCTTCACTGTGTTGGCTGCCTGCACTGCCCCCTCCATAGCTGTAGCCTGGGTCAGGGAATCCTGGGTGTGGGTTGTACGGATGAGGCAGTGGATACTGGTATGGGAAAGCCATGGGCCACGGCGCAGCTCCTGGGTGAGGGAGAGGAGCCAATGTGTCCTGGTCAGAGGCTCCACTGGATCCATCATGGTCATGTAGGGAGAGGTTAGCCATGTCTGCAGACGCAAGCAGAGAACACAGATTAGTTCTGGCCTAGGCAGTGCAGCAGCTAATAAGCGGTAACTGGAAAGGCAAGAGGAGGTTTCCGGGGACCAAGGGGGGTCGTGCTCACCTCACCCAGGGGCAGCACCTATTAGCACTTCCTGGCTGGACCCTTGCCCAGGATGCATTAGAAGTTACTGCTCCCCATACACTCAGGGAGGGGGTTGTTGCTCTGCTAGTCAGAAACCAGCTCCGAAGAGCCTGTCAGAGCAAGCCAGAATGCATCCCCCTGCACCAGGTTTCTCTCCCCTCCCTGCTCATGCTCCTCATCTGAACAAAACCACTCAGATGAACCTAAGAGTCTCCCTTCCATAACGGAAATTCCAGTAGCACCAAGCAGAGCTTGTCACAATAGTTGAGGTCTAGCCTAGGACCATGGAAAAGCCATGTATTACTCCTCCCTTCTTGAGTTGGGAGGGGAGGCCAGACAGCAGCAGATGGGCACTGAAACGAGCTGCATACACTGGCACCAAGGACTGAAGAGCAGTAAGGAAGGGGCCTAGCCTGGTAGCAATGAGCTAGTGCTCAGAGAGCTGGTAGGGCAGAGTGGAGCTCTCTCCTCTTGCCCCCTCCCTAAGCCCGCCCCCACTGGAGCCCGCCATACTGCCACAGAGGTCCCCGAAGATGTAGTAGCACTGCTCTGAGAAGGTGATCTTGTTGACGGTGTGGCGGATGTAGCCGGCCTTCAGCAGATTGCTGGCATACTTGCGGGACTCTCGCCGGTCAGTGAAGCCTTCCACATGGTGATAGAGCCAGTCCACCACATCTGAACCTGCAGCAGGGAGTATCCCCCAATGAACGTGGTTAAACATGGCAGCAGAGGAAGGAGGGAGCCTGGGGGCAGACCAGGGTGATGACAGCTGGTCCCAAAAGTGAAGGACAGGAGAGGTCCAAGAGTAAGGTGTGGGGAGGAGGGTCAACATTTCAAACGGTTTCCCAGGCCTAACCAGCCCGATGAGCTAGATAGTATACAGTGATGAAGGCTGGCACAGGGAACCCACCAGCCCATCTCTGCATCTATCCCCACGCCCTGCCCTAAGGAGGCAGTGGCCACCTCTTACCGATGAAGGCGTTTGGGATGGTGATCTTCAGCCACATGCGGTCACGCACCTCCAGGCCGGACTCAGGTGAGGCCATGGCTTTGACAATGGTGGCCATGTCGCTGTGGATGGACAGGTGAAAGTCATCGAGGCCTGCAAGGTGGACGGAGGGAAGGAAGGCACAGATGAGAGGGGATGGAAAAAGTCATGGAGCCACATGGAGGTGTCGCACACAAGGGGATGGGCCAGGGAACAATACATCGCAGACTCGCCTTCTGACCCCTCTGATGCTGCAGAGCCCACCTGCCTGCTGCTGCCTCCCAGCTGCCTGCTGGCAGACTATGGCTCAGAGGCTCTCTCCTCCCTCTCAAAGCCAAGCCAAACTAGTCATCTTTCTCCAGCAGCAGCTGCTACAAAGCTTGCAATGTTCTAAAAGCTGCTACGCAGCCTACACCGGCTCCCCTGGGGAATTCAACTGGCACTTGCCCCACTGGCAAGGCTACAGGGAGCAGCTGGCTCATCTCTCCAGCCCAGGAAAGAGCTGGTGCTAAAGCCAGGTTCCATTCAGGTGCTTTCTTCCATGCACTCTTTACTGTTGGCACCAACACTCTTCAGTAAGACCCCCCCACAAAAAAGGAGTTTTAAATTAAATCTAATGATCTCACTATGCAAATCCCCTGACCCCCGCTTACAGCTCCTCTGCTCGGAAGACCCCAGATCTGTGAGAGCCAAACCACTGCTTGGCTATCACTCCTCATCTGAGCCCTCACATGCTTTACAGGCCTATTTGTTGTGCAAAGAGCAGTGGGCCCTGGCCCACCAAGAGAGCTCTAAGTCTCCCTCAATCAGGGAGGCCACAAGAAGTGCAATGAGAGATTCTGGGGGACAACTGAGAAAACAAGGATAAGAGTGCAGGTCAAAGGTTAATAGTGAGGGTTGCAAGGGGGATGGGGTGCACCAAGCAGAGCATGCCAGCCAGTGCTCACTGTCCTTCAAACACGTCCCCGGAGCCTCTGGACACCAGCCAGCGAAACTCTGCCCAAAGATATATGCAGGGAAGTGACAGGAAAACAGCCCAACCGTTGTTCAGGCTGCCCGTGGCCAGAGCATCCTTCCTGGTCTGGTAGATAAGTTTGGCTGAAGCCAGGAGGAAGTCCAAGGACTTGGCGGGGTCACCGATGGGGAGGGCATAAATGAAAAGGGGGTGGGTGGGGAAAGAAGTGCGGCCAGAACCTGATGAGGAGGAGGTTCCTGAGATGGTGGAGGGGCTGTAGCCTGGCATAATCGAGTTAGGCAGATGCTAGGGTCTCCCTCTACTGACAAAATGGGCAGGTGTTGGGGGTGTCAACACATACATGCAGGAGCTGCCAAATGAAGCCTTGGGTGGCTTGTGGGATCCAGGTTTAATACAGGATGGGTCCACCGGGGACTCTCATCCTCACCAAGGGCGTTTCACCACTTGGTGTCTGGGTGGGACACGAGGACAGGAGTGGTCGGACCATGAGCATGTAGAGCTGGTAGCAGCAGACTGTGCAGAAGCACATGGGCCTGGTGTCCCCTGACCTGCTGAGGTGGTCTTACAGGAACTGGAGGTTCACCTGGCACTTGTCTGACCCTAGTACCTAATGCCTTCTGCCTTTGACAGGGTGCTCCTGCCTGGGCCCAGCCTCTATTGCCCTTGCAGGGGACCAAGAAATCTGACACTAATTTGCCCAGCCCGTGATGCCACTTTCCCTGGGCTACTGGGTAGGTCTTTTCTTAGTTTTCCGCATTCAGATGCTTCTATTCCTGGCTTCTCTCCTGGTCCCTGGAGTGGAAGGAACTCCCCGCTTCCTCCAAACCCTAGCCCTTGCAACAGGGAGCTGTGGCTCTGTGGCCACTTCCCTTTCCCCCCAGGCCGCTTCCCCCCCACCTCTGGTTTCTGCCTGCTCCGATGTATTGCTCCCATCAGGCACAATGGGGTGCTGGCAGGCACAGCACAGGTGACCTGAAGCTGTGCTGCGAGGGGAGCACGCAGGCATGAGGACTTACGTTCGGTCTCTGGGATGGAGCTGGTGATGGAGGAGCTGGTGGAAGTGATTGTGCTCATGGATGGGCTCATACCGTACGCTGGGTAGGTTCCGGTCATCGCCGCCGTGTGGGAAACCCAGGCTGCAGGGTCGATGGGTCGGATGGGCTCACCTGCAGCAAATAGAAGGGCAGTCAGACGTGGTCTGAGAACCGTCCCCTTGTTACTGCTGCCTCTGGGGGGCACCCTGCACAGCCCCCACCAGCCATCCCCAGCATCAGCCGGGACTCACCCGGATCGGAGCATGGAGAGTCTGGCCCAGCCCAGATCCGCTGGGGAGCAACTGGGAGAGAAAGAAGAGAGGGAGGGTCAGCAAAAAGGGCACAGAGGGAGAGAGTCCCCTGATGGCTCAGTGACAGCAATCTTGGGGGTGCTTCTCCTTCCTCTGGAGCTCCAAGAAGGTGACCCCCACCCTCGTCAAGGTGACGTGTCCCCAGCACGATCTGGGAGGAGGACTGGGCAGAGTGGGGTGGCAGCTGTCCTGGCTGTGGGCTGCCAGGAGGTCTGCTCCATACTGGGGCCCTGAGCTCAGACCAGGGGCCTCAACCCCAAAACAAGCCTGTACCAAAGCATTGCCTAAATCAGCCCACACACAAGGAGACACAAACAAGATGGCACCCATAGCAGGGCTCTTGCAGGGGCCAGGCCCTGCTGTGGACAGCAGGCAAGTGATCCACTTACTTCTGGGTAAGGAGAAGCAGCCCCGGGGGCTGGGGTCCCAGCACTTGGCAACCGTCAGGGTGATTGGTCTGTGGCACAAACACAAGAGCAGTTATTGCAATGCATGGCCCAAGCTGGGCTGCTCAATATGAGACATGGGACATGCTGGCCCTCTCCACAGCCTGCTTCAGAAGCAGTGTAAACTCAAAGAATGTGCCAGCACAGCTGGTCCCCTCCCAAGCCAGCGGTCATGTTCCCCCAGCCAGCACAGACAGACAGTAACCAGGTGGGCAATGGAAACTGCAGCACTGCAAGCTGGATTAAGTGGGAAGGATGGACATTAGGGACAGGAGCACGTGGCTCAGGAGCCTCTGACCAGGTAACTCTGCTGCCTAGAGCTAAACGCAGGAGTCAGGAAGACGCTAACAAAAAGGGCCGGAGATGAGCCCTGGGCTGCCTGCCTAGATCTGGTGCACAATGGGGATGGAGGAACTGCCTACAGAGGACAGCAGGGAGCTAAGAGCCCAAAGGCAAGCTGTGCTGCCAGCAGCTGAGGAGCCAGAGCAACAGGACAGCAGCTGGTGAGGAGATGCAGGCTTGGGAATGACCCACCCCCAGGGGAGAAGTGGTGGGTGGGGGATGAGGGGGAAGGCACCTACCCTGGCTTGTGTACGATTTCCCTCAGCACCCGTACAGCATCGTCGTTGCTCATGTTCTCAAAGTTGATGTCGTTCACCTGCAAAGACGATGGATCTGAGACAGGACTGCAGACTGGGCTCAGTCATGAGGGAGGGGGCTTCCCCCTCCAAGAGACATAACTGGGGCCAGCCTAAGAGTAGGGGCTGGGGCTGGGGCTGGGGCTGGGGCTGTCCAGAGCTTTCACTGTCACTGCCCCAGCCCTGGGAACAGGGGGCACAGCCATGCAGTACCTGCAAGAGCATGTCTCCAGGCTCGATCCGACCATCCGCTGCCACAGCACCCCCCTTCATGATCGAGCCAATGTAGATGCCACCATCCCCACGCTCATTGCTCTGCCCCACGATGGAGATGCCCAGGAAGTTGTACTTCTCTGCAGGAGGAAGGGGTATGGTGAGCAGGAAGGAACAGAGGAGCCTTGTACCCATCAGCCCAGATCCAATCTAATCTCCATGCGCTGGTCAAAAGTACCTCCCAACCTTCCCATTCTCCATTTGTTTCCTTTGCCTTCCCTGCTCCATTCTTATACAGTTTGTCTTTCATCTTTTCAAGCTCCTTGGTTCTGCTTGTCCCCACCACCTACCCTCCTGACAATGAGGGCAATTAATGCCCGCACTCCCAGCGCTCCTCCCTCACTCTGCAGTGGAAGGACCCCCATGTCGCCAAGGAAAAGGGGGTATTTTGGGCTTGAAGCCAGAACTTTCTGCCTCTGTCCTGTTGTCTTCTCAGGTGAGCTGACCACCCAGGCAGAAAGCAGCTGGGAGCAACAGTGAGATCAGATGGGACACGGGGTGTGAGGAGACCAAAACCCCTCCTCAGACAGGTCCCAGGGTTAGAAACTCCTCTCCTACCAGTGTAACCCTGACCCCAGCTCTGGGAGCTGCCCAGTCCCTGGGGAGACTCGTGCTTCAAGCCTAGCCGGTCCCATCATCTCCTTGCTCCTCCGTGCCCACTCAGTCCGCACCACCCCCCGGCCCAGTCCCTCCCTGCTTCTTTGCTCCACCACCTGATCTCACTTTTGGAGCTGCTCCCTAGGTCAGGCCAGGATCCAGTGCAAGAGGCACCATTGGGTGTCCCCACTCACCCATGTTCAGCGTGACTGTGATGATGTTCAGAGACATAGTGGAGTCCGTGATGCTGCTGAAGGATGACGACTGCAACACAGCAAAACCCTGTGAGATGCCCCCTGCTCACTGCCCTCTGGCCCAGGGACCAACCCCTGACTTGCCTCCAAATCTTCTCCTTACTCCCCACTGTCCCTGGGTTCCCTGCTGTCCCCTGTAGCACTGTCCCCATGGCCTCGCCCTGTCTAGCACAGGAAGCTCTGCAAAGACAGAGCAGGGGCTGCTGCATCCAACTCATTCCCACCAGCAGCAGGACAAGAGAAGCCTTTCATCCCCATGGCTGGGGTTACACTGGCTTGGGAAGCTGTCTGGGACTATTTCCAGCAGGGTCTCAGTGTCTGGGCTTAGTTTGTGCTCACCAGGCATTCTGCTGAGCCCCTGTGGGCAGGGGGTAACCTGGCTCACCCACGAGTCTGCCTCAGACTCCAGAAAGCCCAACCCCTGCCCCGCAGTCAACCTCTGCCAAGCACCCAGGCCAGGAGTACCCGCTCGATGCGCGGAGTCTTCTGTTTCCGTCGGCGTCGCTTGTGCCTCCTCATCAGGCGAGAGGCGCTGCTCTGCTCTGTGGAGCTGCTAAACCTACAGGCAAAGGGGAGGGTCAGCACTGAAGCCACATGCAGGTGGGGCTCTTGGCATCAGCATGCCACAGGCAAGGGCAATCTGTGACCGAGAGAGAGGGCCACCAGTGCAGCTACGAGCATGAGGAGCAGAGGTGGGGGGTCATTGGTAGACCCACAAGTGTGGAGAGCAGAGGACCATCAACAATGGTGGACACTGCTGGTCAGGATGGCAGGCCACTGGCAAGGATAAAGAAGCCCCCAAACACAGGGTTACAGTGTCTTGCTCTAGCATCTACCTTGGCATAAGGGGCTGAGGAAGAGCCCATGTTCTCCCAGGCCCCGTGTTTTCCCTACCTGCTGGTGGAGTCATCCTCATCCGAGTCAAAGAAGCTGGTGGTCTCCAGCTCGCTGCTCATGAGTGTGGAGGAGCTCTCGTATCCTCCTAGGTCTCGGCGCCGCTCTCCCTTTGCCGTCCCATTCACCCGGGGTGCTGGGGAGATGGAGCAGTCAGCACCCATGGCAGGGGCTGTGAGATGCCTGTGCAGCCCTCCCTCCTGTGAGCAGCACCAGGGGGCTCAGGGCTCTGCAGTGAGAGGAATTCCCCAAGGAGGACCTGGCCTTCAAATGATGTCTGGTGGGGTGGGCTGCTGGAGGTGCCACCCCAACCATGGCCCCTGGCCCCTGGGTACTCCCCTGCCTCTCTAGATAACAGGAAGGTGAACCACTGGGAACAAGAGCTGGAGCCACAGGATCCCCAGACAGTGAAGCAGGTTGCCACATGGTCCCTCTGGGATGGAGTGGCCTGAAGGTAGGGAGAGTTCAGGGTGGTGCTTTTTGGGAACAACTCCCCTCTGCTGGTGAGTGCCTGAATCTGTGCAGGGGTCTCAGCCCTCCTCTGTCACTGGTGGACACCCAATAGCAGCTTCTATGGGATAGTTGCCCAGTAGGATGCAACCCCAATCCCACTGGTCTCTCTAGGAGCAATAGTTGCTCTGCCCCGGAGGACTCTCGTCAGTAGCTTTGAAGTGATGCAGGGTGGGAGACTGAACTTCACTTCTGTCTGCATAGGCCTGGACACAGTGGTCCCCCATGCAGCCTGCACAGCCAGGACCAACGGCTCAGCTGCAACCCATAGTGGCTTTGGATGGGGTGTGGCACTCACCGTGCTCAGGCCCATCTTTCCGACGAGGCCGCTCCCGCTGAGATGACACCACAGAGTCCGTCTCTGTGTCATTATCCAGGTTCTCCCGACTCCCACCAGTGTTGGGGCTGTGAGGGGTGAAGAGGATGGATGTGTCCAACATGTCCAATGTCTCCTCCTCCAAGGGCACTTGGACCTCCCAGCTCCCCTTGCTCTGACGTACCCCAGCTCTTCTGCACTTCCACTTGTCTCCTCCCTTTTGAGCTACACGCTGGGGCTCCTGGAGGAAAGTGTTCACTGTTCCCTTGGGAAGGAGGGAGCCTAGGGAGCTTAGGGTGTACCCTACATGGGGCACTCAGGAGAGTTGGGGTGTAATCAAAGGCCCACCCTGCAGGGGGTAGGAGGCTAGAGGATTTGGGAGCAGACAGAGGGGATGAGGGGACTGGGGCCACGATAAGTTTCCCTACCTCCTGCCAAAACCTCAGTGGAGTCTGAGAGTGAGAAAAATGACAGAAATTTTTCCTGTGTGATGGGCAATGAGGCATTGAGGGAGCAGCAGCAGATGGGATGTGTTCTCCTGCTGTTTCTATCATGCCCGGTTAGTCAAACCAAAGAACTTTGGAGCCCCTCTTTCAATTCCTTCTCAGCCCCACCACTGCCCGGGGACCCTATCCTAGCACTCCTTTCTCCCCACCACTGCAGCCTCTGTCAAGGAAAGTAACTAATCCTGGCCCTGGCTGCAGCTCCGGTCAAGAAAAGTAGCTAATACTCCAGCTCCTGTCTTTGCATTCCTTTCCACATCCCAAGTACAGAAAAACAGGACAGTATGGACCCCTTCCGCTCTGAACATGCGTCCTAGGGAAGCCTGATGAGATGGGTCCTCTGGTGGCTTACTGGAATGAGGGGGGCCTGGAGTCTCCAATGCCTCCAGTGCGCTCCATAGAAGGCGGCAGCTCTGGCTGGTTGTCGGCACAGACTGACCCAGCATCTGAATGCGACCCCTCTGCAGACACGAGCTGGAGAGAGAAGACAGAGAGAATGAGATGGCTCAGGCTCAGAGTGGGAGCCCCAAGCACAAGAGACATCTACAACTACACCGGACATGGGACGAGCCTGCCTTCCAGATCCCCTACCTGTAGGAGATGATAGTAAGGCCAGCTCTGGAGCAGACCCCACTCTGCCTCCCCAAACACACTAAACCCTCAGCCTCAGTCAGTTGAGCTGGTTTGGCCATGGCCTACAAACTCTCCAGTGATTAATACCCTGTCCACCACAAACTCACCACCTGCACACGACTGTGTTGAACTGGCTATGAAGAAGCTTCCATTGTACGGGTGTTGGGAATACATTCGGCAGAGCTGGGCTCCCATCCAGATTAGGACCTTGCTCTTAATATATAAACCACCAACTGCCCTTTATTTCCAGGCTCAGAGACTGGAACACAGCCTTTGACCTCCAAGCAGATTGCTAGTTGGGTCAGGACAGGAGACTGAATGCTCAGGGGAGCAATGCCATGTTTGAAATGGTTCCTGCTAAATCATTTCTACTTGCATTTGCTCCCTCCAGCTGGCCATCCAACTGTGCTGGGAGGTGTTTTAGCTAGCTCTGTGTTTAAGTCTGGCTTTCCACTTTGACCCCCAGAAAGACGGGGACCCAGATCTCTGATTCCCAAGCCACCCAAACTGTTCCAACACAGCCCCCACAACAGAGGAGCCAAGGGCTGAACAGACTATGGAAACAGCTCTCCGCTCAGCTGAGCCAGGATTCCTTGAGGGAGAAGGATGAAGCTCACTCTTGAGGGAAATCGACTTCAGTCCAAGAAGACTGCACATTTGGCCCCTTCCACCACCTCCTCTCCCAGCTCCAGGTCCTGGCTGCCTCGACCATGCTTCCTCCATCCCCTGACCTGGGAAGGATTCTAGCACCGGACCTCAGTCTTGGTTCAGTGCAGCGACAGCCCTGGAACAGAGTGAGGGCAAGCCTGTGGAAGCACTGCACTGGACCGGGTTGGAAATGTGAGATGCTACAACCAGCCAGAGCAGGGTCAGGCCTCCACGTGCTCACTCATGCCCGAGTGAGTCCCAGTCTTTGCTACTTATTGGTAGCCACGAGCCAAGACAGGGCCTGATCATGGGTCACACAGGAGATGCTCCAACACAGGCTCAGATGCAGCTCTGGAGAACATATCTTCAAAAGAATCGCCAAAGGCGTGAGGGGACAGAACTGGCTGGCAAGAAACCAGGGGCATGTATACACAGACCTTTCCATCCCGTGATGCACCAGAGATCCGGCAGGATCTGCGCACTGTGTCACATGCAGTTGCACAAGTGGCAAAATGCACATTAGTGCACAGAAAATCGTGGCGGTGCACCTTTGAACTAAAACACCTTCAATGTGTTTGAGTTCAAAAGCGTGCTCCCACTTTCTCAGCGCTGACGCACATCTCGCCACTTATACAACTATTTGCACCACAGGCTTTTAAAAGCACCCGGCACTGTTGTGCAACCATGTGTACAAATGCCCCAGGATTGCAGTGGGATACTGTTCTCTCCTGGCTGTGGCTGCAGAGGATGCAACTGCAGCTCTGCTTCCTGCCAGCTGAGGGCACCACATGTAGCCAAAGGAAGGGTGGACCAAATGCTCAACCCTACCGCCAAGGCCTGGCTCCAGGGATCTGGTGGGTGAGCTCAAGGAGAGCAGCAGGGCCTGGCCAGCTCAGGGAAGGGGACTGGCTGTTGTGCCCAAGCCGGCTCCTCTGACTGCTCAGGATTTAGGGGCCAGCACACGAAGCATGAGGCTTGGGAGCTGAGAGAGCACCAGTGGATGCTGCTGGATGGGGCCAGGCAGAGAACTGGATCCAGGGAGCAGCCTAACAGTGCCACAAGGGGCTGTGGGACCAGTGCCCACTGCCACCAGGGAAGCTTTCCTCCCTCCTTCACCGTCAGGAAAGATCCAACCTCAAATCCACCCCCTTCCACTCTGGCTAAAATTAGCCCCAGGCTCCTGAAATAGGCTCACTCCAGCCCGACTGGCAGCAACAGCAGCAGAGTGCGCAGCCCCCAAAGTCGCCCGCCGCAGGGGGAAGTGGAGTGCGAGGAGGAGGGGGGCAGGTCATCAGCTGTCGAGAGGGGGCCGAGAGCGGTGTTGCCTGCTGCCAGCTCCAGCACTTGGGAACGCAGCTCCATGCGTCTGACCCGCATTCAGAAACTGGCGGCAGGTAGAAAAAATAGGAGCTGCACAGCAAGGATTCAGAGCCTCTGGGACCTGCCACTAGAGCTTGAGAAAACAAAGGCAGCTGGGCAGGGAGAAAAGCAGGCGACTACAGACAGATGCAGCAGTAATAAATACTGGGTGGGGAGAGAGGCCTGGAGGAGCTCTGTGCTGTGCCCATGAGCCACGAGGGGGAGAATTTCAAACAGTTCAGCAACCGGACCCTGCGGGTACGGGGGGGCCTTATACCCAGATACTCATCATAGGATCACCCCAAGCACCCAAGCAATGGCTCTTACTCCCCTTATCTTGTTGCTCCTGACCCAACCACAGCCAGTGAGTTGCCCCAGGGGCATGGGAGCAGAGCAGCAGAAACGTGAGCCTATGCCTCGCTCTGGCCTTATGCCAAATGCTGCCCCCCTCCCACACTGTATCTGGGTAGCTGGTCATTCATACCTGGTCATTGGCCCAGGAGCCAGCGGTGGCTGGACGTGATGTTAGCCACAACGTGCCCCTTTGTGCCACTGGCTGCAGGCACTGGCATGCTTTGCCCAAAGCATCCCAGTGGGCTGCTAGGCTCGGCTGGGCCCTTGACTTTAGGTTGAGAAGAGACTCAGCTCTCCAGGGTAGGGGCCAAGGAGGCATTGGGTCTGATCTAGGCAAAGCTGAAAGAGACTGGTAGCTGCCCTCACAGTGGGGAACTGCTTGGTGACCTGTGGGGAATGCACTGCCTTGCTGGAGTTCAGCTCAGCCTCGAGCGGGCAGACCCTGGCAGTCATCCAGCACTAAACTCAGCCTCAGCAGAAGGCAAGGGCCATAGAGGCTAAGCATCCCTCTCACCCCAGCAGGTCCCCTTCAGGACAGAGGGAGGATGCCAACAGGGAGCTGAATATGTGTGTGGCGTGACATGGAGGGAGAAGCTGGCCCTGCAGCTGCCCATGCAGTGCCTGCAGTCTTCAGGGCAGTCAAATCCAGCCCATTTCAATAGCACAACATTCACTGGACCCCTCTGCGGCAGTCCTCAGGGGGGAAGGCACAGCTGCCATAGGGACACAGCGGTTGCTGTGGGCAGGCCTGGAGCAGTGCCATGAGGATGAACTATACTGGGTGGCAGCAAAGCAGCTTTAGAAGGTTCTTGTTTAACACAGCACAAAAGGCTTGGGACTCTCTCTCCATAGGAGTGGGGGGATCCTGACCAGTCTTCCTCCAGGATTCAGGCCTAGGAGGACAGGACACAGCCCTCTCGGCCCATCAGCTCCTCCTGGGCTTTGTCTTATGTCGATACCAAGTACAGTTGTCCCAGGTCTTGACCTGGGACTCTGCAAAGCAGATGGCATTTTCAAAGACACTTATATAGCTTGGAGGAAGCAGACAGACAAGGACAGGCCATCACATAAGCTGCTTACCCAAGACACCACCCTGCCATTGAAACAGGGAAGCTTGGCATTATCGTCCGAGATCTCTTCCTTCACAACCCTGCGGAGAAAGAACAGGGCAGGTTAGAACCAAGGCCCAAAACCCATAGCTAAGGTCCACCAACCTGTTCCACCTGGTGGGGAACCAATCGCATTCAACCACAGCCCGGTCACAGGGCCAGGAGTGGAGAGGAGAGGTGGAGGGGGGAAAAAAAGAAGCTATTCCCACAAGGGACCCTGGGCTGCAGAGTCAGTCTTGCAACACAAGAGAAAAAATGGCTAGCTGCTGGTTCAAGGAGAGAAGCCAGAGAGGCAGCAGTGAGCATCAAGCTGCTCTACTGTCTCAGCAAAGTGCGGGGCATGGGAGGGACAGAAGCAAGCAGGGCAGACAAAAAAGACAGAAAAAAGATCAAGTCAGATCTGCATTTCAAGCATTTTCTTTTTTTTTTTAAATAATAAGCCTCTTTGTGATAACTGGAAACCATCATCACAACCCGAGTCAGGACTCAGATGCACTATACAGTAGCTTGTTCCAATTTAAATTAATTCAATATGCTGCATCCGGGAGTCGTCCTCACACGCTGACGAGTTAAAAGGCGGCGCTATTTAATTAGATATGGGATCAGGGAAGCATTTATTTTTGCAGGCTGACTCAAGCTCCATGAACACGTTGCAAGGTCACACAGTGTGTTAAGCAAGCAGCTCTTATCATTCAGTCTTTACAGCAGAGGCAATGCTGGCACCTGCGTTTCTGTCCGTGTGAACAGGTTTATTATCTCTGCACAGAATATTTCAGCCTTAATTACTTTTAGCGAGCTCTTAGCTGGCAGCAGCAGAAAGCATCCCTTCTTCCTCTGGACTCATCCATTCAAAACGGGCAAACAAAATGGAAGATGGAAAAAAATAAGGAAGACTGATTTCTGTCACCTGATCCAGAGATGCTCGGACCGCACAGCTCCTTGGCTCACCACTTGGGGCTCTTCACAGATAATGGGCTTTTCTCCATTGCATGTGCTGGATCTGTCCTCCCCACAATCATGAACGACGTACCATCTGCCCTGCCACTTGGGCCAATGCTATCCATGTCACTATATAGCACAGGGTTTTTTCCTTTTGCCCTGGAGCATTTGCCACCACCCAGCCAGGGGGATATATGTTGCTGTGGCACTTTGGTCAACACCAACACCGACTGCCCAACCAGCTCCTGACCCAGACAGGACTGAGCATGACTGACTTCACTGATGAATAAAAACCAGAACACCTACAAATTCTAGCAACTGGAAAGACACAAGGCCAGAATTTCAAAGATATTTAGGTCCCCAATCCTGTTTCAGGAAGCTCGTACACAGGGTAGGTGCCCAAATCCCACTGATGTCAATGGACGTTAAAGATCTCACCTGCTTAAGTGGGTTTGAAAACCCCACTAAATGTCCATCTGCATCATCAGGGGCCTGAATAGCTTTGAAAATCTAACCCCGGGTGATCAGAAACAAGCTGCCAATTCACTGGCTGCAGTTAATACCACCTTTGTTTAACAGGCTCATTTTAATAAACCCGTTTTTCCCTTATATAACCAGTGCATTCAAAGTCGTTTTCTTCCACTAATAAAAAACAATTTTCAAAAGCCGGTTGTGTGCGTTTGCACTGAATTTCCATGTTCCATCCAAAATAATCTAGTACATAACTGGGGCATGACACGGTCTTCTAAATACAGTAAAATTGACTCTGAATAAAGGTCTGTTAAGCTCCAAAACTGCTAGTTAAGAGTGTCTAGCGATAGTGTATCCGTTGGGTTAGCAAACTGCAGCACCAAATGCATCATGCAGGCTATATTCAGTTGCGATGGGGATGCTCTGATGGGCACATCAGCCAGCGAGAATGAATTTTTCCTTAAGAAATGAAGTGAAAGATAAAAGTGCAGCATCAGATTAAACTCGGTGATTTAAAGCAATCTACCAAAAACTTCCAGCAGGGCAGGGACCCAAAACAACTGCCATCTCGGCGTCTTCTTGGGACTGCAGAACTGTGTACATGGATGAGTGCAGCTGTCTTCTCTGGACCTATGATCTCTGCATGCAATGAGACCTGGCTGCTTGGACTGAGACGGAGCATGCTGGAGCTCAAAGCAAAGGTCCTCTGGGCTGTGCTCAGCTACGTGGGTGTTCGGAGCTGCCTAGACAGACACTGAAAATAGGGCACCAAACCACATTTATGCTCTCAAAATGTCTGCCAAAGGCAAACAGACCACGCTACACACCAACGCCTGCAAACAGGCTCTGCCTCACTCTGCCTCCCATACCAGCCGCCCCATTCACAGAAGGAGAGTCCTACCTGCCAAGACGGGCACGGGCTGCCTAGCCCTGCCCAGGAGGGCAGACATAAGGCCAGCTAGCACTGCTCCTGGGAGGCCACATGTTCTCCCACTGCCCCTATCCAGCATGGATCTGCTGCACAGTACGGGTGTCAAATGCTGGCAGGTTGCTCCAGGCCAGCCCATCTCCTCCCCCTTGACTAGCATCCGTTACGCTGTCGCTGGTAGCCTGGACTTCATCCAGTTCCTAGAGAGAAATCCCAGCCAAGCCAGCTTCCAGTATTACCCGTGACTTCCACAGAGGCTCCAAGTCCCATATGTTGGCAAAGACGACAGTGCTACAGACTGGCAGGGACAATGTGACCAACTGCAAGGAAGGGATTACCAAGCCCCCCAAACTGGGCTTTCCTATGGGGTAGGGGGTTGTGACAGGGAAGACCCCACGGCATCACAGAATCGTAGGGTGGGAAGGGGCCTCAAGGACCATCTAGTCCAATCCCCTGCACAGATGCAGGATGCTGTCCCTAAACGACTCCTGGCAAATGCTCATCCAGCCTCCTGAAAGCCTCCAAGGACAGATTCCACCCTTCTGAGGGCAGCTCCTTCCCCTGTCCTGCTGTCCCTACAGGGAGGAAGTTTCTCTTGAGGTTTAAGCTAAGTCTGCTTTGCTTGATCCCTGTCCCACATCCTGCCCTCTGCAGCGAAGAGAACAGCTGCTGTCCCTTAGGGCAGCCTTCCTAATATTTGAAAATGGTCATCATGTCCCCACCTTGATTTTCTCTCTAAACGAATCATACCTAGTTCTCTCCACCTTTCCTCATATGGCTGCATCCTAAACCCCTTTAGCACCTGCTGCTCACCTCTGGATCCTGCGCAGTTTCTCTACATCTTTCCTAAAATGTGGAGCCCAGAACTATACACAAAACCCAGCTGAGACCTAACCAGTGCCGAGTGGATCAGTTCTGTCACCTCTTGTATCTTATGCATCATATTCCTGTTACTACCGCCCCAAATCACCTTGGCTGTGCTGGCAACCACATCACATTGCTGGCTCCCATCGAGACCGAGAAGCACCCAAACCCCCAGACCCTTTTCAGCAATGCTACTGTCTAGCCACTTATCTCCCACTCCGTATTCAGACCTTTGGGTTAGGGTTATGTCTTCCTAGGGGTCAGGGTTAGGGCTTCTTTAGGCATAACCCTTACATTGGTCTTTGCTGCACTTCCTTTGGTCACTGTTAGCCCAGCTCTCCAATCTATCAAGAATCTGTTGAATTCTATTCATTTCCCCCAAAATGTCTGAAACCACTCCCAGTTGTGTATCATCTGCAAACCTGCTCTAGTCCTGCATCCAAATCATTAACAAACAGGCTAAATAATGCTAGACCAAGAGCAGACCCCTGAGGAACCCCACCCGAAACCCCTCGCCATTGAGCAGCTCAGAGTCGCTCTCTGACTGTGGTTATTCAGCCAACTTGCCCCTACCAAACATGACTTCTGCCTAGCCCACAGTTCTCCTCCAGTTTCCTTATGACAACGTCACGTGGGACTGTAGGAAAAAGCTTTCTGAAGTCCAAGTCCACTGCACTACCTCCGTCCAAGCTAGGATTAAGTCCCTGTCCTGCCCCTTCCTCCCCCCCAGCTCCCCATCTCAAGTTATTTTGCCTTTCACCCTTGGCCCATTTTGGGAAGGGCAGCAGAGACATGCAAGGAGCATTTCAAGGCTCTTTCCTGCTCTTTCCCATCCAACCCCCACCCCAGGGGTGCTCCAGCAGGGAAACAGGCCGTCCAGGGCTCACACCAAAGCTGGAAGCAGACTTCTTTCCCGAAGAACAAAGAAAAGCACCCCCCGCCTGTCCCCATTCGCCTCATGCCAGATCTGCATGCTGCATTACTCATTATATACTTACCACTGGGATTCCACAGCTCAAGGAATGATATATTTTGAATCCCCAGAGCACAGGCAGACAACAGTAGGCTCGAGTCAGACAGGCCGAATGGTAACAGCCCCACACTTCTGCCAAGGCCTGGTAATCCAGACCCAGTCTCTACGACTTTCTAACCCTAAATTTTCCTCCATGGGGTTACTGATGGCCCTCCATCCTGGATCACAGCCCTCTGCACCTTGAGCTGCCCCGTGCAAGTTGCACCCAGAGCCGAGCGTTCAAGGCAACATTGGTGCTTTGCCATTAAATGCGCCACGTGCAGTAAATGTTGGCCCACTGAGTGCAACAGGAGAGCCCCTAACGCCCTGCCTGTTCTAGGAGAGCCCTGGAAACAGGGGTTGACAGGGAGGGGGCTGCATCCTAAACTCCACTGCGGAGGAAGGGACTTTATCTCAAAGCAGTGGATGAGTCAGAACATGGCTGCAACCCTCTAGGTTCTCCAAGGGCCTCTCCATCCAGAGGCAGCAGCGACAGCTCAAGCAACCCTTGCAAGTGTGGGTCCCACTAGATTTGGTAGCTCTGGAGCACTCGGAGGACCCATATCTTTGCCCACCCAGTGACAACTCCTAGCCGCAAATAAGCAGCTTGAACCCCTGCCCAAACCATGGTGGCACAGGCCACACGCACATGCCAGGGAGCAGGCTGCAACCACTTGATGGCCTGCAGAGGTGACCCAGCCCAGCTGCCAGCCAGCAGGACCAGGTGACACGCAAGAGGGAGTCTCCACGGGCTCCCTCTCCTTATTACCTCCCAAGAGGGATTTTGGCAGCATCAGCTTGGAATCCAGGTGCGCCAGGACTGACGATGGCAGCAGCTGCAGCAAATGGTCAGCCACGATGGCAGCATCATTTCACCCCCCCACAGCAGTCTGCCGCGCTCTGGAGGGGCCATGGCAGCTCAGAAACCAGCCTCCCTGCAGAGGCCTTGGGTTCAA